TAATAATAATAATAATAATAATAATAAAAATACAACAACACAATAACTACCACGGCGGCGGCGGCGGTGCAGCGGCAGCACCTCCACACGGTCGCCGCGGCGGCGCGACCAGCAGCAGATCGGAGCGGCTGCTGATAGATGCAGGTGGCCACTTTGTTCCGAGAGTCGGCTACTCTACTCGGAGCCGCTATGGAACCCAGTTCGTCGACGGAGAGCAATTCGCCCTCTCTGAAACAGCAGCAGCAGCAACAACAACAGCAGCAGCAGCAGCAGCAACAACAACAACAACAACAACAGTAAGCGATTTTTTTTAAAATCCATCGCTCGCTCGCTCTCACTCTCATTCTGTCCCCATCACTCTCTCTCTCGTTCACTACGCACGTTTCTAATTTTAATCGTGTACGACCATTGTTTTTACATTTGGTTTTTTACCCGTTTGGTTGTTAAATATAATATTATCGTTCGTAAAGTTTTATCAATTCGCGTTCACCATTCTCTCTCACTCACTCTCTCTCTTACACACTCTCGTCCGCCATCCACCCCTCCTCGTCCCTCTCCCTCCGCATTTGTTATCTCGACCGAGCGCTTCCCGGGGGGGGGATACCATCACGCACACTCGAGTGCGCGATCCATCGCCGGGAGGAGGTCAGGTGTCGGGAGACAAAGACGAGTTTTTTTTTTCCACTGGTTAAAAAACACGCGAGGAACACACCGCGAAACGGTTCCGAGAACATCGTTCGTCTTGCTCTCGGATTTTTTTTTCATTTTTATTTTTACATCTCCGCGCGCCGTCCTTTTGTGCTGCGAGTTTTTCACCGCCACACCGGATACGGCTGCCGCACTCGCGTGTGCGTGTATGTGTGTGTGTGTGTGTAAAGTAGGTATACGCGAGTCGTCCGATTACACACGGTCGTGTGTGGAAAAAAAAAAAAAAGAATAGAAAAATAAAATAAATAAATAATAAAAAGCGTACGACGACATAACAGCGGCGACGACGACGACGGCGACAACGATTACGTCGAGCTAACAGCTATCGGCGGTGGTACGTACGTATAATATTATTGTAATAATAGTAATAATAATAATAATTATTATTATTATTATTATTATTATTATTATTATTGTTCGTCGGTGTGTAATAGTTGTTTGCGTTCGTGTCGCAATCCCGCGATAAGTGTTGGTATGCGCCAATCCAGACGTGGTGGACTTTGGTCGTTCGAAAACTTCGGTCGCTCGGTTTACTGTGGCCATCGCTTTCGCTGGCCAACGATGTGAAGTCGCCGTGTTCCGCTTGTGTCGTCGCGCGAGTGTCGTGTCCGTCCGATCGGTAGTGACGAACCATAACTTAGACCGATAGTTATGATCCGATGGTAAAACGTTACCAGTAACACATTGAGGACATACAAGTGTAGGACTTGTGGTAGAGAGCTCTACCCAGAGAGGATTATATTATTGGCTTCCACCTGTTTGGCCGATATCGATTTGCTATGTTGTGTAACTACGAAAAAACCATTGTCTCCTAATCAAAAACAATAGGTACATCTACCTTGTAATAATGATATTATGTCAGATTGGTGTATCTTATCTTCATAAATAATAATTTATGTATTTCAGCACACCATTCCTACTGAACTTTTAGTTATAATACATTATAATATTGAATTAAAATGTTTTCGAATTATGCGCTTTTATAGTATGTCAGCGCTTTAAGTATTTAAGTGTTACATGTACGCTTGAACTGTTACTATGAAAAGTGTCTTTATGATTATTATATTATCATTGCATACACAAGAAGAATGTTGTAGATTTCGTTTTACTGCTGACCATTAACAAACCAATGTGATGGTGTTTTCAAAATTTTCGGTCACCTGTTTTTAACACTACGTCCTTTGAAGTATTGGGGTCTGTCTGTTAAAATCAAAATTTCATAAACGAACATATGTGTGTAAATAAATTCTTTGTTTTTAACTCTGAAGTTATTACATTCTTATAATACAAACTATATGATGCAAGAGAAAGTATTTAACTTCTGATGATTCTTTTATTATGTACATTAAATAGACTTAGAACCTTACTGTCTATATAACATCTTATTAATGTTCTTATTTAGTTAAAACAACATGTTGTAAAAGGAAATATTCTTCAGGTGTTGAGTGTGCCACAGTGGCAATGTATAGTATTATCATATGTTAAATTTCTAAGACACAAGTATGCACAGTACTCATCATTTAAGGTACTTATGCATCAAAGCAGATTTTTAAACATTCAAATAGTAATCAAAAAAATTAAAAGATTTCATTATGAAATAATGAAGTGAGTGGTCACACAATTTAAAATGATAATTCATGACATAAAATTGAACATTTTATTAAAATATATATATTATATATTATTTAAGTTTAAAAAATAATAATTTAAGTATTTAATTATTAATTATATAAAAGCAAATTACTAGCACTGGTGTTTTAACTATATGAAATGTAGAAGAAAGGAAATAATCACAGTTAATTTGTGATATTTTGCAATTATGTAAAAATAAATACATTTAAACACATGTTAAATTAATTAATATGAGAGCAATATAAGTTCATGTTGGAGACCTTTGGTAAAATGCTTTCAACAATTTACTGTACATTTCACTGTTTTTTATTCTTTTATTTTGGAATTTTCTAACGTTATATCCCTATGCTTTAAGGTATCTTCTATACCAACTTGCTTAGAATTAAATTTAATATTTTAAAAAATGTGTTGCTTTAAATATTGGCCCTCTAAAATATAATATAAGACTTGATTTATTAATTTTTTCATTAATAAGTTATGAAACATTCATTTTTGTATTAAAGGTACTTGTATTATAATGATATTATATATTTAAACTATGTAATATATCTAATTAAAATAACTATTACTTGATTGTTAAATTAAGTTCATATTAAATCTACATTTCAAATCATATATACATATATATAGTTGTTTAAATTACATATCTATTAAATAATTACAATTTCTACTATTGCAATAACTCGAGTCTTAATGTTAATTAAAAATGTTAATCTTTATCTTAGATTATTTGTTGTTTATTAAACAATAGTTTATATTATATTAAACATAATATAAATGAAGCAATAGAACTAATTAAAAGTATCAAAATTATAAAAAAATGTAGATGTACCGTTTGATGTCTAAAATAATTATATCTTTAGTGAATAACATAATAAACCAACCAATTATTTATTATTATTGTTTATCTAAAGATTTGATACTAAAGTAATGAATATAATAGAAGTTTATCTTGTAAGGAATAAAACTTGTTTAACACTTCCAATTAATGATTCTTCATTGAACTAAATGGTTCTTAGTTTTACTATAAATTAATTGCTTCAAATATGAATTCAATACCAAGAAGAAGTCAATTTGTTTTTGTTTTGTAGTACCCACAGTATAATTTAGTATAACAATGCTTATTAAAATATTAAATCATATTATTTTGGATAAAGTAAATATATTTATATTATCAAATATTGTTTGTTTTTTAAACTCATTCCTTTTGCTAGTAATTACTCTCATTCATTTATAAAGCTAAATTTGTTTTAACAATATTTATCAACAAAATAGTAAACATTGATTTATTAGTATTTATCATATTTTAGATTTCCATTAAAATATTAGCATTATGAATTATTCACCTATTATTCAACTAATAATATTTTGAATTAAATCACTTAAATCACTAGTGAACTAAAATATTTTGACCAGATATTCTTACTCTACTCTTACTGTACTTAACCCATAACTGGTATAGTACGGTGTCATACATCGCTGCATTTTTTTTATCCTATATATCAATTATAATATAGTTAATATTACTTGGAGGTTATGTATACCTTTGTATGGAGGTAAAATGTACATGATAAGATAGGTTTTCATGTTATGTTCACTGTCATAACTTGTTATTGTTGATATAAAATTTTCAGCGGTATCTTACACCGCACTGTACCATGTGCATAACATTTTTGATATCCAATATATTTCGATGTTTGAAGAAATTTTTGTTCTTATTTTTAAATTTAGTTCACTACAGTTATATTATATTATGTTGTTTATATTTATTATTATATTTGAAGTTTCTTGTATTTATTTTTGTTTTGGAAGGTTTAATATTTTGTTTATTTATTATAATAAAGCGTTTTAATTGGAGTTTGGTCATATTTATTTTTACCTAAAAAAATGATTTTTCTCGTTATTATTATTTTTTTTTTTTAATCTTGTTCTTCGGTATGCCTTTTATTATTATATATAAGTTTTAACCTTAAAAACTGATATTGAAAAATTCTAGAATAAAATAAAAGATTCAGAAATAAATTCTACTACAATTTTTAAAGTAACAATTCATTGAAACACTAAGAAATAATAATTTGTTTAAAAAAAAAAATGTAGAAAGATTGTTAATACTATACTGATAATTAATATCCATAAAATTATTTAAGAACTTAATCTATAAAGGTCCAAATATTGTTATCAAATGAAGGGGTATTTCACATCACGCTGTACCAGTTACAGTTTATTTTTTACTGTACCAGTTACGGGTTAAACTTAATTTAATACTGTATTTGAAATAATAATAAAACTAAAAAAAAATATTAGATTTTTAATATTTATTCAATCGATTTAATTTTAAAAATAAATTAACTGATTATTTACATTAATAAATTATTGTTCATAATTGTGACTTAATATTCTTGTACCTAACTTGTATTGTTAACAGTTTATGTAAAATGTAATTCAGAATATATGCCAATAAATATACCCTAAGTACATTGACTTATTGTTTATTGTTTGATTTATTTAGTATTATAATCTAAAATATATTTATCATTTAAATAATATAAGTATTTAAATTATTCAATATTTACATTCACATTATATAGCATATATACTGTGTGTATATATATATATATATTTTATATATGTTTCTACCTTGACAGTTATACTTGATCAATGAATTTTTATAAACTATAGATTCTTTATTAAGCTTATCAGTTATTAAATTCATTTATATAAATAAGAATGATATTTTTAAACAATAGTTCTCTGTAGTATTAATCCTTCTTAATATCTGTGCCTATTCATAATTTTGGTTAAATAGTTGTTTTGTTATTAACTATCATTAAGTAAATATACCAATAAACTAAACTAAGTATTAATTACTCAAGGCTAGAAAGGTTAATGATAATTAACTACCTAACATTAGGTAAGTAAATTGTAAATAAAAACAAATAAAGCAAGGAAAAAATAT